TGAAATTTTTCAACGACGAGCGCAGGAGCAAAGACTGAGGTTCGGGTCCGGGAGCTAATCGGAGGTTCGGGACCGAAGCTAATGGCTCCGTAGATCGAAACTCTCTTGTAGACGAAGAAGGTTTTGAGAGTAGAGGAGAGTTGTTGTATGTGTGGGGCCAGTGACAGACCATTATTTAACCAAACCCACCTAAATTGTCAGTTAATACGACGCCGTTTTTGTGCGTTTTCACATTATTAAATTGCAAATCTTGTTTTAATGCTTTGAAAGTTTGACTTTTGATTGGATGTGTTTTTTTTTTCTTCTTATGATTTATGACAAAATTTAAAAATTACATTTTATTTTCTCCATATTCTTTTAAGACAGAAAAAATGAAGAGTTTCGAATTATCCACAATTTAATAATCAAATTCTTTATTTGAAAACAAAAACGAGCGAGATTTTAGATTATTTGAATATTATCATTTTTAGAAAACTTTTGAATAATACTTGCTACATTTTTTATGAGAGATTAAATATTTAATAATTATTTATATCTTTTTAGTGAGACTTATCCAGAATCAATCAAAATTGAGATAATTTCACTACATGCTTTTGAATAGTTGAACACAGAGATATTTTCTTATAAGACTTTACCCGATTTTTGTCAAGACTTTTATTGCTTACCTCATAAGACACCCGAAAACGCTTTTTCACCATTAATCTCAGGAAATCTTTTACTGATTTTTTTTCTATTTCACAAAATTAAGAGAAAACAATTTAAAAAAAAAATATGATACGAAAATTTGACTATATATGTATATGTAATTCGAAAAAATGTCAAATTACAAATAACGGGACTATAATATGGGCTAAATATATATAGGGTTCCACATAATCTATTTATGGTTTATTCATGTAGATTGAGCTGCCTCTGTGGACCGATATTGTTAAGACTGGTATTTCGAAAGAGCTTATGATCCTAACTGGTTCTACATCAGAGCCGGTATGTTTACAATCTTTGGACCGACATTGTCGACCTAGACACTAAAGGGTTAGTATACCAATGGCGTAAAAGTCATGAAATGAAGTATTATCAAGTTTAGATACATAGAAACAGCATTTTGGATCACCATTCCTTACAAATCGAATACAATAAAAGGTTTGGTTTCATATGCAACTCAAGTCCATCGACAAATTTTTTCTTTTTTTTTTTCGATAATGCGACATATAAATCGCCATTCACAAATTCATTTGTTTGTAATGTAAACCAGGAGGAGGAAAATCACATCAAGTGGATAGAGAGATCTTGATCAAGTAGCTGGAAGAATCGTAGTTACACTAAAATCACATTCACTTGTTGTAGCTTTCACTCATTTTGTTTTGTTATGGTCTTTAATGATTCTTATCAAATACTCTCAATGGAATCAGGTTCTTACGTTGTTTTTTCCTTTACAAGATAAGTTTTACAGGATTATGGGCGTAAATGGTAACCGCTGAATTTCTGTTAAAAAACTGTTGAGTTGTTGAATTTGCTGAATTTTTAGTGATTTCTTGCAGAATTTGCTGAATAATATCAAGTTTAAATGGTAACTGCAGAATTTGCTGAATCTGCTGAATTTTTGAAAAAATAATTAATTAAATAAAAATAAAATTTTAAAAATGCCACATTTTGAAAAAAAAAAGTTTTATTATAACATTTATGTTTGGGTTAACTATGTTGTATTAGAGTTTAGTTTCGAGGGTTTAAGGGGTTTTAAGGGTCAAAACATTTTTTAGAGTTACAATTTTAAGATTTAGGATTTGAAAATCCTTAATTAATGGTTTTTTTGCAAATAGACACTCTTAAATGGCATTTTTGCAAATGTACATACCAAAAGTGATATTTTTGCAATTGCCCCTTAAATAAATTAATAGATTGATATAACAAATTTATATACATAATTTATGATATAATATTTTGCTATTGAAATTGAATTATTTTTAGTAAACCTAATTTTTAAAATATTACAATATAATTTTAGAATTATCAAGCAAATTTAGTAAGATTTAATCACACTACATGTATATTTAGGAGACAATTGCAAAAATACCACTTTTAGTGAGTACATTTGCAAAAATACCACTATGGTTTGTTCATTTGCAAAAATATCACTAATTATAAATTTTTAGAGTCTAAATCTTAAAATTTTAAATCCTATTAGTGTAAATGGTAACAACATAATTTTCTGCTAAATTGTAAAATTTGCTGAATTTTTGCTGAATAATATATCAAACTTAAATAGTAACTGCTAAATTTGTGGGACCATTTAACCTCTATATCTATCCCAACGAGTTCCAAGGTTTGGCTGTCACAATCTCTGCATCGACTGTCACAGTCCATTGTATAGTATTTTATTTTAGAGGTTATATGTACATTAGTCTTATAAATTAATTTTAGACTGAAATTTCATTTATTTTTTGAAATATCACAAATAAAAACAAGAAGTGTAGAGTATGTAAAGATAGTATGATACCACGATGATTCCTTAATCGACATCCGATAAAGGAACTGTATTATACCATAGCTAATTCTTTTTTTTTGTGTGCAAATTTATTTTAAATAGATTTTGTATTTGTTTTTTGACTGATCTTTGTGTCGTTTTCCAGTTAAATGCTATATACTTCATTTCATCACCTTAGTTAGAAGCGCTCATGGATTTAATTATCTTTAGAAAATTAATCGGTGAAAGAAAATTCCTATTGTAAAGAAAAAGTATATATATAACTCGAGTATTAATAGATTTTCACAAAACATATTCCACAATTTTCAGAAGTTCAGAATAATCTTTACCACAAAAAAGAAAAGAAAAGAGAAGCACTAGCACATATATATAAATTAACATCAACGACAGTTCAACAATATAAGATAAGAGCAAATATAGACCCTTAAGGCCTTAACATAACACTATTAAAAATGTCAAAACTCACACACATCAAAAACCAAATCCAAAACTAGACCTTTTTAGAGTTTTTCTTGGATTTGGTTCGGTGTCTGAGTCTTTTCATTCCTTTCTAAGTCTACCTACTATTCCTGGTTCGATGTTCGTTACTACAAACACGCTCACTACTCATAATAATCTTACCTTATACATAACATGATATATGAAATGACTAAACCGAGAATATTGATTCAGCGCATTTACCGACCATAATGGTTTGAACCGTATTCTTTGGTCCACTGCGAGCTGGACTGAAACAAACCGCACTGTATGCTTCAACCGGATATGTCATTTGTTCGAAATGTTTCACCAAATCATCTTTGCCCTACACACAAATGTTCAACTAAGATTGGTATAAATGAATACTTAGACATATGAATATATAGGAAGGAGTAGAGAACTAGCCTGGATCCTAGCATAAGCAATTTCAAGTACTTTTCTTGAGCAAAAATGAGACCATGGCTTGTGATTACAAGCAACCTTAAACCTCTTCACTGCTTCTGCGTTTGTGAAATTCACAAATGCATATCCTTTGTTCAATCCACTCCTGTTCGATTTCGTACAATTTATTTAGTTGATCATAAGCTCATGGAAAATTAATAATCATGGAAAATTAATAATTTGAATTGTAAAGAGTTATATAATTTTTTGATACTCAATAATTATCAATTCCAAGATTTGTATATCTAATATCCCTAAAGAGTAATCATTACCATTGCATAAAACATGCCGCCACTACATGATATACATTTTCCATCTATCATTTCGTTGCTCATGGTGTCATACAAATATATAAATATATTTATCTGTATGAAACAAAGATGAAGCTAATGAATACTACTAATTATTATCATAAAAAAACTAACCTGAAATCGACAGGAAGATACAAGAAATCATAGGCAGAGATAGGAAACCCTTCATCTTTCTCCTTTTTGTTTGCTTCTTCACAATGCTTGTCCAAGACCTCAATCATCATTTCCCTCCTGTATATATTATTATTATAAGCTTCATCGCAAAATCATCATAACATATATAGATTCTGGCTAATTATATAACGAATGAACTATATGTACGTGTATTTGTTTGGTATGTTGCGAAGCATGACAGTAGTGATACGACCGCCGTTGGATTCATCTTCATGTTTGATCCTCCACGTCACCTTGTTATCTTTCCGACCAAAAACTTTCTTACTACAAAGACTACCTTCATTACTTCCATTCGTTGTCGGAGGAGGAGACAGTTCTTGGCTAGGGTTTGGAGAATAAAGAGGAAGAGGTTCTTGTATAGACTCGAACCGATTAGGGTTAGGGTTTATAGACCAAAGAGGATAAAACACAAAGATTGATGGTGAAGGAGGAAGGAGATTAGTGTCTGAGAAGAAGTAGTAAAACGGTGGCGCTGAGAAGTAGTAATAATGATTATAGGGAAAGAATAAAGATGCGGTTCGAGTTAAAGATGGTCTGGCTATGACCAAGACGTCCTCGTTGTTCGCCGGAAAAGTATAATCAGAAGATATTATATGGTTTGGAGAAGCCATTGGAGGTTTCTGGAGAGAAAGAGAGAACTGATTTTGTGTGATTATATATATTATTATACTTTGGGGAGGTTTGATATCGGTAACAGCAATTACCGACGGCGAACATGTCTTAATTTTCTTTGTTCATCATTTCGTTTTTGTCAGTGTAGTTTCTACCGTTTGATTATTTTCTCATAGCTTTGAGATTCGTGCTCAAGTACATCAAGCCTTCTCAATTTCTCATAGTAGTTTAGGGGATGCTGACGTATGAATTGCATATATAATAAACTTTTATAGGATCTCAAATGATTCAGTAAAATTTATAAAAAGAGAAGCAAGAAATATATATACAGACATACAGTTGATAAATAATAAAATACATGTATATACTAGATTTGCCAAATCTTCTGTAACCTAGTAGTAGACTAGTAGCACCATAATTGGCATATCCAAGTGATTGTAAATCGTTTTCATTTCTTTCTAAAAAATAGGTAACTGACATTAATAACCAAGAAAAATACATTATGTTCAAAAATCTAACCTATTATTTGACCAGGTAGAGCAATTTTGATTACTTGTTTAACTATTATTTTTTTAATTATTGGACAAATTAACCCATAAGAATATCGTGTTTGTACATTTATCTATTGTTTTTATCGCAACCTAATTTATGATTCGTATTTTCGTTAATAACTTGCGATCACAAATTCACAATGTGTGTTGTGAGATAGCAAAAGAAAAAGAACATAATAATATACTGCATGTCACTGTGGTTCGTTATTGTCGTGACTGTTGTGCTAATCACAAGCAAAGCCAAAGCCACTTACGTTTGGGTATATATATCGTTTCACAGGATTTCAGACCCATTTTCAAGATTAATCTTGGCTTCGAATGATGACAGCGGTTAGAGCGGTGCGGGACAAGCGGTTTAGGGG